AGCTGCCATTTTATTTTATCTAAAGAATTTATCAAGTATCTTTCTATCATTTGAAGAATATTTTGTGATTTTACCAGGCATATATTATCATTATGCGACTTCTCTCCACTTGAAAGATCGATTAATACCTGCAACAAATTCACACTCGCCCTTTCGGTCTCCCCTGCGTCAGAGTTATCCTTCCAGCTCCTGCTATTTCTCTCTGAACCACGACGCTATTCCTAATCTCTTTATTCTTCGTTATTTGCCTCTGCTGGCATTTTCTTTATATCTTTACGTATTATAATCTATCTATATTTCTTTTATCTACATCTTTGACTCTCTTCTTATAACAACTATCCTCTCTGACTGATTAATTATTTCACGTCATATTTTATTACTTTTTTTTAATTTCTCGGGTACTTTTATTTTATTCACCCCTTAATTGCGTATACCCCATGTGAACACAAGAGCCAGATGATGAGTTCTCATATTTAAAGCTTGTTTGCGTAGGCTCAGTCACGCCGTCGTCGATATATAGGTATTGTGATATCTTAAATTTTTACAAGTATATTTCTGTATTTCACTCTATCCATTAAATGAATTGAATCGCTTTGCCCTCACAGACATTCGACATAAATAACGGAAAGTGGAGCAATAAGGAATCGGAGAGAGAGAGAAGAGAGAGCAGGAGAAGCGCAGTCTCTCTCTCGCTCTGTCTGTCTGTTCATGGCCTGAAAAGGCTGCTTAAAAGAATACAGAGGCAACCCTCTTGAAAAGTGACACCAGAGAAGTGTCGCCTTCCTCTAAAAGCAGTGGAAGTGATGAGAATTTTGCCTGGTTTGTGGATAAAAATGTGTGTGATGTAACAGCGCTACTACATCTCCTTAGTGAGAAGTGAGAAGCATCAAAACAAAACAAAATAGGCTAAATTATTTCTATTTTTATTCTTACTCTGAACCCATGTAGATTTAGACTTGAAAATTACATTCAAAATTAAATATTTTGATTAATCTGCCAATGATTTTCTCAATTAACAGATTAGTATATTAAATCTCAAGAATTATTAAACAATATAATTTCACAGAGCCCAAAGTGACAACAAATGTACTTAATTTATTATCATATATGACATACAAAAGCATAAAATCTGCACATTTGAAAAGATGCAACCAGCAAATGTTTGGTTTAAGAAATGACTAATACGATTATTTGATTATCAAAATAGCTGCAGATTAATTTTCTGTGGATTGACTTTAACTTATCTACTAATTGTTGCAGCTGTGCATATATTAACGAAAAGCCTTGAAAGCTAAAAAGACAACTCAACTTTGAATGTTATTTTATTTTCGTTCCCTAAATGAATATGTTGCATTTTAGAGGTAAAACTAAAGAAATATAATTAAATTAACATAAATCATGCCGCCATATGTGACAGATGTTCTCATTTATTTATTTATTTATTTATTTATTTATTACTGTTGTTAACTATTAGGTTGCGAAGAGAGACCAGAATGGAGGGGGGTGGAGGTCACAAATCCGGAGGGTGAGATTTTATAAATCTTTAATTAAAACATGATCAAAGTAATCTTAATTCTTTTGGTAATTCATTTTGACATGAACACACTAAGTATCCCTGAAGGTTCATTGTGACCAAAAGTCTTTCTGTTTTTACTTCACAGCCCAATTTACAAACGAAGTCCAGACATGACGAAATCTCCGATGACAAAATCTGAGCAGCTCCTGAGAATAGACGACCACGATTTCACCATGAGGCCAGCGTTTGGAGGTCAGAAAATTAATGTTACTTCAGATTTAAGTTAAGTTTTAAAAGTGTTTATATATATGATTGCATGATTGCAACTTAGTCAGGATGCATGCTCAGTCATCAAATGCAGTCGGATAAGATCTGTGCGGTTGGTTTCATTGGTTAGGGACAAACAGTCCTATAAGCATTAAGCTCTCAGAGATCTTAATGACACCATCGATGCAAGCTTTGCTGGAGTTTCCAATTGCAGCTCAGTTCTTAACTTCACAGTGTTAAGACGTGTCTTTGGCATCACTGTATATTAGAGGGATTTAATGTCAGCTTTTTGGACTGTAGGATTATGCTGAGATAAAGGCACACAGGCTTTTGTTTTTACTAGAAGATTGTAATGGAATATATATTCATAATCGTTTTAGCTGTCTTTATCTTTTATCTTTTTTTCTATCTTTTTATCTGTATTTTAAGGCAAACAACCATAAGCACGAGAGCTGTGTTTCACTCAAAAAAATCAGCCAAACACGTGCTGTTTATTTATTTATTTTTTACTTGTAATCACACGACAATCTGCTGCAAGTGACCCTTGCAGATTCCTTTTTCTGTGTCCGATTTCCACCATCAAGCGCATCTCAGCTGGAAGTGGAAAACTGAGCTGGATTGCATCCATGGCTGCATCAACTTATTGTGACCTAATTGTATTTGTGTACTATTGGAGGATGACGACGCAGAGTAGAAAAGCTAAAATAGGTCAAAAGTAGAATCCCAGCCAGACCGACACAGCCGTTGCACAAACAGTTGCTCTGTATTCGTGTGATTCATGGTTGGTTTTGGAAACATGATTTACAAAACAAAAAGGTTCAGGCTGACTCTGTAATGGTCCTGTTGACTGTTGCACCCACTATTGCATCCAAAATCATGCAGAAACAGGCTCAGTGATGTTGAAAAATAACACTTCTATTGGGGTTATAATTTGAGTGAGTCCATTTTCATTCAGGTCCTCCGATTCCTGTTGGAGTAGATGTTCAGGTTGAAAGTCTGGACACCATCTCCGAGGTGGATATGGTAAGAATGAAATAGCTTTTTGGTTATCTCAGTTCTGTAATTCAGGTTACAAGATAAAACACAGGTAGTGGAAAGTAACTAGTAGTAGAGGAACTAACTCATTTTTGAGTATTTTATGCTACTTTTTACTTCTACTCCACTACATTTCATGGGGAAATAATGTACTTTTTACTTTATTTCATTCATCTGGCAATTAGAGTTACTAAGATTTGTAAGATTTTACATTAAAAACATATGATGAGATAATAAAATACAATGTATTGTTACAGATTAAACCAGTGGTTCCTACCCATCTATCTTTTTGGCTTGTGAACAAAAAAATCTATTGTTTATGAGTGAGAAGTTCCATCAAAAACACATTTCCATTGTTCTATTGTTTTCTATTGTTATTTTCTTTTAATGCAGGATATCAGAGAGTGTATATTCTTAAGTTTTCCTACGCCCCTTAAAATCACGAAGGCCTCGCAACCCCCTGTGAAGCTTTGGTGACCCCCAGTTGGCCACTGTAGTGATATATCAATCACAGGACATTTTACTGCACAACCACTTTTAAGTACATGTAGCTGATAGCTCACTCTCTATTCTTCTTACAGGACTTTACCATGACACTGTACCTGCGTCACTACTGGAAGGACGAGCGGCTGTCGTTCCCGAGCACCAACAACCAGAGCATGACCTTTGACAGTCGCCTGGTGAAGAAGATCTGGGTCCCTGACATGTTCTTTGTTCACTCCAAGCGCTCTTTTATCCACGACACCACGACTGATAATGTCATGTTGAGGGTTTACCCCGACGGCAACGTCCTTTACAGTCTCAGGTAGACATGTTCATTCTTCACTGAGTTTATTCTCCTGTGTCGTAAAAAAATATTTTAAAGATCACAATAAAAAGCTTTTTTTTACAAGATGCATTCAAATATTAAGCAATTCCACATCCTCAAAAACAACACCAAAACACATCACATGAAAAGATGACAGCAGTCATTAGAAATGCCAAAGGTCACTACTGATTTACTGATTTTCACAGTGGCGTGACTTTTGTGGAATAACACTTCTGTATCATTTAGTAATTATAATCAGTGCAGCAGAGGAGTATGTTAAGTTAATCAGAGGATGCTGAATACTTGTGATTTTTGTCAATTCGCTGCAGGGACTTTTTATTTAATCAAGCAAGTTATTTATGAACATATGACAGTTTGAAATGAGGCCACTTGATGGAAAATTGGGAGAGAAGAGGGAAAAAGTGAAACAAGAAGACAATACAACAAGAAACAAAACAAAAAAGCTCTGTAACACAGTGTATTCCATCTATTTGTTTATCATGGTAGAATATATACAAAATTGAATGAATTCCGCCCTGACCCTTGCTTGTACTTGAGGAAGTTGAATTACAGTATATGTTTCTCTTTGTGTCACTGCTGTTTCCCCCTGCAGAGTCACTGTCACTGCCATGTGTAATATGGACCTCAGCCGCTTCCCTCTGGACACCCAAACCTGCTCACTGGAGATTGAAAGTTGTGAGTGGATTTAACAGGAATATGTTCAGCAGTGCTAACATGCTGATTCATCCATCGACTCATCCATCCGTCCACTTTGTACCAGAGAAAAAAAAGATACCTTGATAACAAGTGCCCAGATATTGAATCAGTTAGGGTGTCCACGGGGTCTAAAGTCTACAATGAAACAGGACTTTAGGCCTTAAAATGTCAATGTTAAATATGATTTTGACAGGTCTTAAAAATTAATTGGATTCATGAAGTTGTATAAAGTATAAAGTTGGATTTGCATTTCATATCCTTCGTACTTTTTTTGGTCAACTTTTACTAATATTCAAACTGCTTTTTCATTTAAAATTTTGGACACTATAGGACGTTTCCTCTTGCACCCACCTCAGGCCAAAATGTCGAGTTTGCTCACCAGTTATCTCATGAAATCACAGACATATTACGCCATGAAGGGTTTTGAGTACATTCATGCTTCAAAGAGAATATATTGCCTTAATGTTCAGACCCTCTCCTCTAGCATCACCCCATTAGTTCCTCAACTAGTGAGGCTCTAGACTCAGAAAATCAGAGAGTGCAGTGGGCATTGCAGTCTCTAGGGACTGCTAGTGGTGCTTGTGTTGTCTTATCTTGTTAAATCTTGCACACAGTTTGCTCACATTAACATCCAGCATTCATACAGATGAACTTTCTTACTCCTACTTCCTTCTCCTCACAGATGCGTACACAGACGACGACCTGATGTTATACTGGAAGAAAGGCAACGAATCCCTGAACACTGACGACAGAATTTCTCTGTCGCAGTTCCTCATCCAGAAATTTCACACAACCACCAAGCTGGCTTTCTACAGCAGCACAGGTGCTGTAATCCACAACACGTTTAATATATACAGTAAACTGAACTGCTTATGCAAATGGGTCAAATGTGTGCATCATGTGTGGAACAACTACATCACAATTGAATTATAACTTCACTGCACCTCATTTTACTTTATTCCAACTAAAGGATCAAGTCTTACATGAAATTGGTGTCCCTTGAATGTCACAGCAAGAAGACTGTGCTAATATTTAATCCTTACTGCGAAATGAAATGAATCAAGCTGCTGCCAACCACTTGTATGCTGCTGGACAGCCACAGTGAAAGCTGTGCAGCCTTCTCATAACCACATGTCACTTTCTAGCTCAGAAGCAACCTAAAGCATAAAAAGGATTTTGTGTCCTATCTCTTCCTGCCACAATAGCTGGGAACCTCTGCTTCGAGTGTTTGTACGGTGCATCAGCAGTTAGCGCATAACAATGTGTGTGTAACTGTGATATTTCTTCTTCCCAGGCTGGTACAATCGTTTGTACATCCACTTCACCCTGCGGCGCCACATTTTCTTCTTCCTGCTGCAGACCTATTTCCCCGCTACTCTGATGGTCATGTTGTCATGGGTGTCCTTCTGGATCGACCGTAGGGCCGTCCCCGCCAGGGTGCCACTAGGTACGAGTTTCCTTTTCAGGAAACAACTAGTTAAGTACAAAAAGTTTATTTAGTAGGTGTATTCCTTAAAAACACGTGGAGAAGCAGGGTGGCACAGGGTAGCAGTGTTTCCCAACCTAAAATAGTCTTGCCTGGCTTTGTTCAAAGCTGACAAAAGATGCTTATTAGGCTCATTAATAAACACATTGTGTCTTATTACGTTGCTAAGCAACAAGCTGGTCTCGTGCAAAGAAATAGTCCAGCACAAAACTAAATGTTGGTTTTACACTTCAGGTTCTAATGTGGATTAGACAAAGGAGAAATACGTGAATGGACCTTCTTCACTGCAGCCGTTTTTTTTAGGCTTCAAGTGATAAATTCTACTTGTGATTTCACAAGAGATTAGAGATAAATCTGAGAAACTAATTCCATAGGAAAAATATATCATGTTTTTTTTTTTTTTTGTTCTATCTGTTAAACATCACATGACTCCTCACATTTTCTCTGTGACCCTTTCAGGGGTCCCCGACCCACAGGTTGGGAACTGATGGCAGAAATAGTGAGTAGGGAGTCTGCTCTTACCGCACAAGTTCGGGATAATGGCTTTCATATAATATATTTGTCCTGCTGACGTGCATAGAGGAAGAGGAAAAATAAGTTAAACGTATTTATTTTTTTGTTTTGCAGCTTAGACCGACCTTTGACCCTAATGTGCATTCAAATTTAACGGCACAGAAGGAACAAATATCAGTGTCTCATGTTAAGCCATTTCTATGCTATTTAGCATTTGGTGGTTTTAGCTTCCCAACCCAGTGATACAGTAAACAAAAGCTCTGATGTGACTAAACTGTTTATTTGTTTCACTCCAGGCATCACCACAGTGTTGACCATGTCTACCATCATCACCGGGGTCAACGCCTCCATGCCGCGGGTCTCCTACATCAAGGCAGTGGACATTTACCTCTGGGTCAGTTTTGTTTTTGTCTTCCTGTCGGTGATAGAGTACGCGGCGGTCAACTACCTCTCCACCGTACAGGAGAGGAAAGAAAGGAAACTGAGGGAGAGAGTAAGTGATATTTTTTTCCCCATTGCCTGCAGTTAACCTACGACATGTTGTTCTTTTAATAATTCATAGTGACGGACATTCAACATTGACAATTTAACATTACCAAATCAGTGTCATAATCTATCTGCTTAAAAATTAAACACTTAGAAGCATTAAAATATTGATGTCCTGGTTTCCCTTGACTGCAACAACATTGCAGTTCCAAAGACAAGAGGTCCTCTTAGCAAAAAATACAGCTACAACATTTAGTTTGATTCTGGATTCTTTTTAACAGTAATCACAGCTTTATTCTTGAGTGGTGAAATCACATTTCTGTTTACTCGGAGTAAATAATGAATGTGTCATTCTTCCTTTTTTTTTTGCTCCTATGTCATAAATTATTAATTTGACTGTGCAACAAATGTGTCATATTTGATGCTGTTTTTTCCCCCTGAATTTAATCCTCACTACATAGATTTGGAGCCTTTCATCATATCTTTCACAATGGTAGTGTGTACATGTAGCCCCAGTACGGTAGGGGTGTAAACAATATATATGTAAAAACAATAACTGTGCTATTCTAATTCTTAATCATTTTTTTATTTTCTAATATAATTACTGCATTTATAAAAACACCCTCTTCTTTTCCTTCTTCCATTCTTTTTCAAGTCTAAATAATCAACATTTATTATATTATAATAATATACTGGTGCCTCTATATGACCTACATAAGCAAACAGGAACATCAGTGAGATAATTAGCTATTTTTATAAAGATATTTCTTTATAGTTATTCTTAATGCCTGCCACTGGGTCGGATTCAGTCAAATTCGTCTAGAAATAAATAAAAAGAGGTGGTGGACACACCACTGCTATTATCCACAGGGGCCACCAGAATCAACACAAACTAAAAGTTCCCTATTGCCGCTTTAAATGGATTATCAAAAAGCTAAAATCAAAAACAAATTTACCATAAAGCTTATATCATTTTAAAGCTCTGATTAAAGCTTGGATTAAAATTTCCTTAATGTTAAATGTTCTACTGTTGTGGATAAAATTTTTGTCATTGCATCCTGTAATAGCTGCTTTCTCATTAAAAGCAAGAAAGGAGACAGATGCAGTCAACACACGATTGACCTGATTTTACATTGAAATATTTTACGCATTAAAATATTTCTAAACTGGTAAAAACATGAATTAATAATGTATGTGCATCTCCAATAAACAGATAAATATTTTCTAAATTGGCTCACTTTAAGCTCTCAGGGCTGTGGAGAATTATTTCTGGGACTACAGCTTGTGTACTATATTGCTATTCTTCATCTGCCAAATGCTGCAGCATATGGAGCCAGTTTGCCCACGTACCCCGGGGAACATTTCCAACACAAACATCCTTCTATAAATGTTTCATTCGAAAGTTATTTAAATGCCCTGAGTGTGCAGAAAAATAATAAACATTGAACAAACTAATGATTTATATTTTCGTTTTAGTTTATTTTACATAAAGTTGCATTAACAATAAGCAGAAGTGTCAAAATGACGTGTTGCGTGTTTCCTTCTTACTTCTCCAGCTGCCGTGTACATGTGGCATTGGCAATCCTGATGAGATGATGATTGACCCCCAGATCACTGGCTATGGGTCTATGGATATCAACACCACAGGGAATTATGGAATGCCAGAGAATGGCGGCCGCCAGGAGCGAATGTTGGCCCAGGTGGCACTGAATGACCCACAGATCGCAGGCCAGGTGAAGCCATCCAGAGGCTACGTGAACATTTGGATAGACACCCACGCCATAGACAAGTACTCGCGGGTCGTGTTTCCCGGAGCGTACATCCTCTTTAACATCATCTACTGGTCCATCTACTCGTAACCCGGGATGCAGAAGTAGATCCTCTGTAAGAGTCCAAGATGAGACTCCAGGAGCTTGGTTCATTTGTGACAGAGCAGGAAAATAACATTGCATTTGATGCTTCTCAGACAGAGAAACTGCTCATAAGATGCATGGGGACCATTGACAGATTGGTGACCATTGCCTTCTTGACCCAGCCACTTAAAACTGCAGAGTTTAATGACAAACGGACAGTCTTCGTCGCTGGTTTTGTCACTCCATCAAGTCTATGTGGTTTGTTGTAACTGTAGTGCTGTTGACGAAGACGTTTGGATGTTGTTGTCACCCGAGGACTTATTGCTCAGAGAAATGCACAAACATGGACCTGTGCAATTGTGCAGTTTAACTCAGCTACATTTCATTTCTCGATGCAGTGACTCTTTGACCACATTTTCAAAACTGAAAATGTGAACTAAAAACGGATTTCTGACATTTCCAGCATATGGACAAATTCCTTCTCCTTTGCTTATAAAGAGTTGACAATCAATGATAAACAAAAAATATTCCAAGGAATAGTTCTGCCTATTTGCTTTCTGGTGGAAAGTTAAATGAGAAAATTGATGCCACTCTTAAAGCTCCCTGTTAAATATAGAGCTACAGTCAGCAGCCAATTATCTTAGCTTAGCAAATTTTTAGTAATTTTTTTTGTTTTCAGGCTTTGTACGGATTAAACAAACAAGATATAACCTGTTAATTAGCGAGCTTTAGAGGTGCTGTTGCCAGATGCTATTATCTTCAGACAGAGCAGGCTAACTGTTTCCAGTCTTTGTGCTAAGCTAAGCTAACTGTCTCCTGGCAGTATATGGTATATATGTGATGGACAGAGCTTCTGGGTCTATGAAGAGACAACGTGTGTTTTAAACCTACATTCTACGTAAAGGCCAGCAGGGGGCAGCTCCATTGGCTGCAATAAAACATACAGTAGATACCATGCAGTCTTATGGAGAAATGACCTGACTTCTCTTTTCACTTTCGCTCAGTAAACGGTTTTTCTAATGAGTTTATGGTCTCAGTCTCTAGTTTCAGATCTTCTTCCGTACGTGATGTTAATTTTGTAAATTATGGTCCAGTTTAGAGTAAAATAGACAATAAATCAGGGTATGCTTTAGGACGTGGCTAACTTGTCTCATTCTCAGTCCGTCCAGTGCACTGCATGAAACTCAGATCAGACTGTCACTTGGTACAGACATGAGAGTGGTATCAATGTTCTCATTTAAATCTTAGTAAGAAAGCGATGTGTCATGTCCAAAAATGTGGAACTGTTCCTTTAAAAACTTGATAATCAAAGTTAAATTGTTTATTTCTTGTTTTTTTGCAGCACGTTAATATGATTCAGTATGTTACATTTTCTTGTGATCTTTGTATCAATGCCATTATTTTGCTGTTCAAGCTACTTACTGCAATGCATTTGTGTGATTTGACAAAGTTGAGTAAAAAGGCAAAACAAAGCAGTCTGTTAAAAACACAAATGTAAAAATATATGTTTAGTAAATCCCAAACACAGATTATGGTATTGACTTTTTTAAATGTTCTTATTTCTTCTTTTTATAATACAACTGAAGCTCATCTCCTCTGTTTGGTGTTGTGAGGCTTTGAGGTTCACTGTGACCTGTTAGTTGCTAGTTTATCGTCTCTTTTTCAGCTTAAAAACAAGTTTATACTTTATTAGGCAAAAGATATATTAAAAATATCTTTTGGTGGTTTATGACAATTCAATGACCAAACATACAGACATTAAATGAAACTCTGGAAAAAAAATGTTATATATGGGAAAATGTTTAATAAATGTTTTGTTTTCTGAAAATAATTTGAGCAGAGCTGAGGTGCTTAACAACACAATCACAATACTGTACATTTTAAATCCATGTAATACACTTAGTTTGTACAAATAGAAATGGTTTGAGATGCATGGGTGAATATTGCTTTTTTTCTGAACATTGCTTCTGCAGACGTCAATTAAAATCAACTAAAAACACAAAGGACAGTTGAAGTATTTGCCGACATTTTTCTGGTACGACCCCTAAAGTCAAGTATTGTATCCTATTTTCCTGCTCTTACACAGTATATTTAAACAGGGCTGGAGGATAAGCTTTCACAGTTATTAGGCATTGGATTGCTACCAGCTGCAGGGTCTCTCTTCTCTCTCTGGCATACTACTGATTGCTGATTTGCTTCATACCGAATCACATAAACGGTATATTCTGTAATACCGTTAACTGCTCACAGGTGACATAAAGGGATATATATGTATTACATTAAGCTTATTTTTAAAAACTATTTATCTGATTTCTTGCAGGCAAAAAGTGTTGAAAAATCAATCCAGGTATCATCCCAACGGGTGTGGTGACAATTCAAACTTTGTGCACGATTGTCCTTCAAAAAACAAGAACAAAGGGATCACTGCAGCAGAAAAACATGAAAAGGATAAAGCATCAAACAGATGTCCAGAACCTGATTTTCCACCGCATCTGTGACCTCTCAAGGGAAGCCAATGTTTTTAAAATCAACCTGTGTGCTGGTGAAGGCATGCCCAGAAATATAAATGAGTGAACAGGCCAATGGGATTGCTTAAAGGCTACAGAACTCAAAGTAATACCACTTTCTGATCAGGTCAGGTCAGAAATATGGTCAAGAGTGGAATAAATACTGTTTATTATTATTTAGGTCAGTTTAGTGTAGTCATGACAAAAGGGAGGACATAATGATATAATGATAGTAAACAGTCCAGATGAATGAGTGAGAAGTCATACTACCAACAATAAATACTGTACCTATATCATAATCAATAAAATAAGCTCAAGTCAAACATCTAAAGACATAACTAAGAGTCTACAGCCATGCAAGTCTGTGATGTCCCATGGTGCATCAGCATAGTGGATTAAGGGTTATGAAGTTATAGAAGTTACGATGGGGTTCATTAAGAGAAGATAGACAGAGAGGACCCAGAGAACAACAGACTTTGCCATCCCTGAAGCGTTGCTGCTGGCTTGTTTAAAAACAATAAACAATTACATTCAAGTGTACCAAGGATGTTGTGCTTACACTTCTTAGTTTCCCATAGGCCACAATTGACCCTCCCGTGGTGTTAATTATTTACTTTATTTTAATGTGCAAAGGTAACTTATTCCAGTTCCTGGCACCACACAACCTGAAAGAACAATGTTGGTTTTGAAGCTCTGCAAGCACCGTCAGTAACACTAGTTGTAGTAGGAATGAGTTTACCTAACCCAACGAAGGTGGTCTTAAAATACTGCCAGTGTGTAACATTTAGGAGGATCTGTTGAAATGTTTGTACAATCACCTAAAAATAGAATGGCTGTGCTTTATAGAGTAAATGTATTGTGTCGTTTATATCAAAGGACACTTTTGGTCACCTTCCGTGAAGTCCGCCACTTTCTACAGGAACCCAGAAGGGACAAACCAAATACTGGTTCTAGATAGGGGCTGTTAGTGTTTTGCAGGCGTTTCGCTACCACCGTTGTTTCTCCTTCACGGTTGGAAGGGGGGGAGGGTGAAGCAAGGGAGTTGCAATCTGCAACTACACTGCTAGGCTCACTAACTCATACACACTGCACCTTTAAGTACCACACTGAGTTATAGTTTCTACCCTTTGAAGGTAACCATACAAACTGTTGGAAGCCCAACTAGCTTACTGACTCACTTAAATAAAATAAAATGTCCTATAATACATTTATTTTCTTTTTTAACATTTATTCATTTCATTTTTTCAGGGTTAATACACATTGATAAACATCACTGTAAAGGAGCCAGTGTTAGCCAAAATGCTGGTATTCAGCAGTTGTCCCTTGGTCAGGTGTTAAATTAGCCATTAAAACACCTATTTATTTACTATTATTATTTAAGTCATTGTTTTCATAGAGCTGAATCGCTGCCTTCTAGTCTTTTCTCCTGTTTGAGTTTGGCCAGCCTGAAGTCTTCTCTCACTTGCCTCAGCAGAGCAGGGCAGCACACTACATCCACAGCTGTCATAGCCAGGGCTTTGGCTGTCCTCAGGGTGAACAACTGGGCCTTTTCAGCTCCTGGCACAGGAAAAAGAGCGGAGGAGGAGCATCAAGTAGAAACAAACTAAACAGACAAAGCAAGTGACCTGGAAAGAGACGAAGGCTAAGATTCACTTTCATTAGAAGAAACAACATTGGTTCTCAATAGACATGTGTTGCCGTACCTGCTGCTTCAGTGTATTCCTCAGTGTGGTTAAATGCATCGGTGCCGATGTAGAAGAAAGGATGGATACCAGGGACTACGAATGATACGTTGCCAAAGTCTGTAGAACCTGCCAGATAATTATAAAATCACTGTGATAATGATTTTTTGTTGATTCAGTGAACAACAAATAAGACAATCTGTGAAGAAAAAAAACACAATTCACAATTCTGCTGTTACATTATTTTACATTTCTCCTGCAGAAACCAGAGAAAGACTGAGATAATAATATCTGTTTTCTATAAAAGGTTTATTTTCACCTACCAGAGAAGTTGGCTGGCTGCTCTGGAAACTGAATCCCCAAAGCTTTTCCATTATTTTCATACAGGTTTGCCAGTGTGGCATTATGCAGAATGTTATAGTAGGCATGGGACGGGTAGCTTATCTCCACCTAAAAGAAACACGAGTATCCCCTCATTCATATAATGTACTGGCATAAAATGTAAGATCACAACACAGACAGCCCAAAGCTGTATAGCTCTGCAATGTGAGTTAAACCTGCCTGAAGCAAGTGCAGACGTAGGAGAAAAACAGCCTCAAGATAACAGTGAATTATGTAACAGTTGTACAGCACTGAAAGCATAATTACAGGCATATGTTAAAAAGGGCAATGTTATATAACAGAAGAGTCAACATTAGGGATATAATGTGTGTCCAGTCGAGAGGGAAGCAAATGAAAGACAACATTTTATAGGTAATCTTACTTACTTGGCAGCCAGTGGCGACAGCAGCTGCCCTGAAGCAAGCCTCAGCTTTGGCCCTCAGGTCACACAGATCCTTAACCAGCGGCGTCCGCATATAAAACTCTAACTCGGTGTAGGCAGGGATAATGTTGGGCTTCACCCCTCCATGTTTAATGATGCCTGTAGAGGAGAAAAAGAACACAATGTGCACAGTGGAGGAGGAGAAGAAGGGATGGATCCATAAGGCTGAGTAAATATGCAATTCATATGGATTTAGATGTCAAGATTGTGTGTTTATGATTTAAAACATCCTTCTACATTTCAAAAGGCAGATGAAAATGTGCTACAGATACTTGAGTCCATCAAAATTAAAACACATTGCACAACCCTTCTCCAGTACATTATGCTTTATTCACTAAAGATTTTGAGCTATCTTGCCTTCAGGTAGGTGTCTGAGGTTCATCTGGTTTCCCTATATACAGACCACTCATTGGTCATGTGACTGATGAATCACTACAGATACCA